CAGAGTGGTGAGGCCTTGGCCCAGGCTGCCCAGGGAGGTGCTGGAGTCCCCTCCCAGCACCTGGGAGGGATTCCAAAAATTGTGTGGACCTGTCCCTTGAGGACATGGGTTAGTGGCCATGGGAGTGTTGGGTCAACACTTGAAACCCCTCCAGGGATAGGGACTCCACCACTGCCCTGGGCAGCCTGTTCTGTGAACACCTTCTTGAAACGCCACCAGAGAAACAAAAGCGCTTCAAAACTTGGCACAGCTTCTTACACAACAGAGAAAAAGCCAAAACTGTGAATTTTCACTGGGAGAAGCTCTCAGCGCTCTCCCAAACAAACCCTGAAGGATTTTTTAAATTTCTGCCACCCGGACAGTGGGATCTCCAGGTGCACTATGAACCCACCAGCACAGCAGACACATCTCAGGAGACCAGAGCTCTAAACCCAGCCCTGCCACCACCCTCCTGTGGCCTGTAGGCAAAGCAGGTCTTTCAAACCCGTTTCTCTTCCTGCTCTGCCTTTTGAAACTCACCCTCAGGGCAGGGCCTCTCTCCTCTCAAATACCACAATTCAATTGGTATTAATTGAGCAGTTCCCCAAAATAAATTTTAACAATGTGGGCAGCTCCTGGTAACACAACAGCTTTCACAGACAAGATGCATCGACTTTAATGTCTCATTTTCTAGGCCAAAACATCTTTATTTTGAAAGAGACACACAAAGTTACTATTTTTCTTTTCAGTGTTTCTTTCCCATTTTTCTGAATTGTTCTAAAACCAGCAAGGCCTCAACAGGCTACAGACAATAAGTAATTTTACTTTTTTAGCTGAAATAAAGGTCCAGACTGCCTCAACTTTTCATGAAAATTTAAAAAAAGAAAAAAAGCCAAATATTTCATACACTTGTGTCATTTATACCTTGAGCTCAACCACTGATGTCACTACAGTGCTTTTTTTTTTTCCCTCTGATGAAAAACAGCTCACCTGTTTGGGAATATACGGAGTCTGGGGACAGCTGCTTTTCCTGGGCTATAAATGATGCCATGGCCAATTCTCTTTGGTGACAATACAATAATTTCAGGTCAAAAAGGGGAAAAAAACCCAAACAAACTGAGAAGTAAGGAATTCCTGGCCAGCTTGGTAAGAAGTTCTTGTTAACTCCACTCTGGGAACTGTAGAAAAGCAAACGCTCCAAACACTCCCAGGCGGGGCACAGGGAATGACGGACTCATCAGATTACAAAGTTGGGAAAAGCCCTCCAAAATCACCAAGTCCAGCTATCAACCCAACACTCCCACGACCACAAAACCATGTACGAAAGTCCACATCAGCACGTTTTTTGAATCCCTCCAGGGCTGGGGACTCCACCACTGCTCTGGGCAGCCTAGGCCAAGGCCTCACCACTCTGCCAGGAAAGAAATTCTGCCTCAGGTCCAATGGAAACCTCCCCTGGGGCAACTTGAGGCCAGTGACTCTTGTCTTGCCACTTGTTCCTTGGGAGAAGAGCCCAACCCCCACCTGGCTCCAACCTCCTGTCAGGGAGCTGTGGAGAGCCAGAAGGTCTCCCCTGAGCCTCCTTTGCTCCAGGCTCAGCACCCCCAGCTCCCTCAGCTGCTCCTCACCACACTTGGGCTCTAGACCCTTCCCCAGCAGCTTCGTTGCCCTTCTCTGGCCACGCTCCAGCCCCTCAAGGTCCTTCTGGGAAGGAGGGGCCCAAAACTGACCCCAGGATTCCAGGGGCAGCCTCCCCAGTGCCTAGTGCAGGGGGACGATCCCTGCCCTGCTCCTGTGCAGACCCAGGCCGGGATATGTGGCCCCCAACCCCGCATCTCTCCCCCTCGCTGGGGACGGGGGTGGGCAGAGGCTCCCACTCCCCCCCGAGGGTGTGACGCAATGGCGGCGGGACTCACGATGCGGTTCTGATCCGTGACGAACTCGTCGATGTTCTCGAGGTAGAGCTCGTCCTCCATGGCGG